TTCGCGATTGAGCTACCATCTTCATGTTCTTAGGGCTACCTACCGTTACATAGGCGTCCTGCATGGCTTTTCGGTCTTGGCGCAGTTTGTTGAAATCTCCGTAGACCCGTGAAATCACTTCCTTCACCTCGGCTGCGTTCAATTGAGTTTGGCGAGCGACTTCTTGAACGAGTTTGTTCATGTCCTTGCCGGTGCCTCTAATCGCTCCCAAAGCCACTAAACACTACCGTTTATTGTTCTCGAGAGTTCAAGTTCAAAGATTGTCCGGCGGAGAAGAAAAACTCACTAAATAGCAACGATTCTTGTCGCCCGACACCGGTGATCGATTCCATTGGTGGCGCTTCCGCGCGTAGCTCAGAAATCGCTTTCGGGAGGATTTCCCCGTCAATCACCGGTGTCAGCGGAAGACGAGCTTCGTTAAAGAACGCTTCGTTGCCAATCATATTCATACCAAGGCTGCAAAAAAGAGGTTTCCTTAGGGTAAACGGCGGCAAAAGAAAACGAAAGGGACACTGTCTGACAAACCTTTGAGCCGGCACGTTTCGCATGAAATTTAGCATGTCGAGGCTTTCTTCTTCCTTTGAATTGTAGCCTTGAAGAGTTTTATTCAGCAAAATGTTGAAAATTCTTTGAAAATGCAGGAAAAGAACAAGGGTACCTTGTGGGTCGGGTTTCCATCCGAGTTTAAGGGCTTTCTGTCTGCAGTATTCAGCACACTTTTCCTTCGTAGTGGATGACCAGTAACAGAAGGAGTTTCCGCCCATGACAATTTTCCGGTTGAACAGTCCTGAAGAGCAGAAATCATCAGGGAAGTAAACAAAAACTAAGCTAACCGACCGACGATCGACCGGAAGCACGACGCGTCGTACATTGGGGATCACCAGTGAGGTGGAACGTTTTCCTTTTGGAGAGAAGGTTTTGATTGTTGAATTTTTTGGTTTTCCCGTTTCAAGCGTGCTTTTGACCCCCCTTCCTATCTTCATCCCGCTCCACGACATTTTTTTTGGTGGAAAAAGTTGGCCATTCTCGGAAAAAAAATCTAGAAAAGTAGAGGTCCTTTCAGGAAAGATTAAGGAAGATGCTAGCTGAGGTGTGAGATCGGGAGATGAAGGTCGTACCGAAAGAGAAAATTTTGAGGATTTGCAGGACGTGACGTAACCAGAATAAGTCTTACCACGAGAAAGAGGTGAAATCGAGAGCAGATCCGCCGATACAGCTCCAGCACTCTGACCGCCTACCGTAATCCGATTTGGATCGCCGCCGAAAATTATGGATATTTTCTTTCACCCATTTGAGGGCCTGAAGTATTATGCTTCCAGTTGGCTCAAGTAGATGAAGATTGATGGGGAGGCTCTCACCTCAAGCTGATCCCAGCAACCCCATAATTGCCTTTGGCTACACCGTCACCTGTGCAAAAGTAGCCCAGATATCCAAGTCGATATTGAATTGTGACGATAATTACTTCTTGGCTCACGATCAATCTGCAAAATATCCTTTATCTATGCATTTTGCCAATGTTTTTTAGTACACCTAAATAAAAGGAGATAAACGAATAAGCGGCGACGAATGGCTATGCCTAATAAACATCATAATAACCATTGGAGGGGTGGGTAGGGCAATGGCTGTGAGACTCCGCCCACCCACCCTCTCGCTGCTGGAACTCAAAAAGCAAACGTACCGAGCCATATTCTCGGGCTTATATCGCACAGCGGAATCCATCATAAAACCGCCTCCATGGATGTAGAATAGCACGGGATAGCTCTGAAATGGATACATTCTGATCACTAATTTTCTAATACTTCTGTGGACTTTTTGCACCGCTGCCAGTTGTTTCCAAACAAACCTTTGCGGGATTAATTGCAGGAGCGAAGATGTTCAGGTAGAGACAGTCTTCACTTTGCGGAGTAAAAATGGTGAATTTGTCCCAGAACATATCGTTCTGTACGGGACGATTCCCGAACTGACGGCAATTTTTCACTCCTTCCCATGGTTCCATACGTTGTGGTTTCTGAAAATATTCGTTTCGTTTTGGCTCTTCATATCGGATGGGAAACCACCCAGAGACCGGGAAATAACCGGAAACCCCGATTCAGGGGTTCGAGGTTGGCTCAAACGATGATTCATGCCTATTTAAATCCCATTCCGCCCCCTGCGATAAGCTTCCGATAGCAGCCGCTTGATCGCCCCCCTCAACCGGTGAGAGTCGTCGTTCGCCTCAAATAGCCATGCGAAAAAGATGTTTTCCCCACCTCCGTGTTCTTGATATCCTTACGCCCCCCCCCCCCCCGTAATCTAATGGGCCTTTACAAATCCTCTCTTCGAAACCATCAGTCGTCCTGACTGGGCATGCCAACCTATACTGTAAACCGATGGGCGAGAGAGTGGGCGACCCTTCAACAAACTACGAGGCTCATATCTCATAGGATTGAAAACGGCCCCTTTGAGTATTTTAACGAAGGCGTGTTCTGTACCCCATCGCAAACCCGCATATACACTTTCGCGGGCAGCGAGACCGCATTATATAAGGGTAATCGCGATATCGGCTCCCCTACGGCGTGTTACGGCGACGAATTCGTTACAGGAAGACTGGTTCCTCTCCCATGAAGGATTTACTACTCCCTTTCAACCTAGGATCCACCGTCGTGTGCTTGTGCATTCCCAAAGTCCCAGAAAACTCGCCTTTTGAAAGGGGTGTTCCTCTGAGTAGGACAGAGGCGCTCATCCCCCTTCACCCTGATCACTAACTAGCCTTCTAGTTGAGGAGTACTCAACCATCCACTACCTTACCCTGCACATCCCCATAAAAGAGTGGCAACGTTTCAGGGAGTTGGAGTATTTTCCCGTGGTCATGACTACAATAGACTTCTAAACAGGTTCAGTGCCTATTCTCGACAGCCTCAAGGTCAGCTTACAGCCTTTTACGTAGTCGTTCAACAAACACAGCCGTGTCCAGTGACGTGCTGAAATTCGGCGAAACGTTGGTTTGAATTTCGTTCATTAGGCAAAATTGTAGATACGGTCTTTCAAGTTCCTCCTTAGCCATGTCCAAAACGGATGACCTATCGGCTTTTTTGCGAAAATTTCACGGCATAAAGCGCCGCAGACTTTGTTTATTTGTTCGTTGGCAGGCTATTTGATGATGGAAGGAGCAGATGACCACTTAAAGGACCAACATGAAAAACGTTGTTCTCCCGAAGTGGACGGGGAAATTACGAACCAGACGGTTTTTGTGGTGGTAGAGAGAAGTGGACATGGGAGAGCGAAGAGCGAATGCATCAGCTTAGAAGCTTACGCTAGAACAACTTTAATCTGAAAATGACTCACTTGAAAACGCAGCTGTCCGACTGGCGGTTTCGCATAGGGCACTCCAAGGAAGCAGTCGGCTTCACAGCCTTTTTTGGTAACATACCGTCTGCCCTGGATAAGTCCGTATTTCGTCTTCACAATGCATTCGGAACTTGCAGTTTTTTTCGAAGTAATGCCTATAGTTAGACTCGAGATCCGAGCTGAAATCACAGACTTTATAGAGGGCAGGGACCAGGAAAGGGCTCAGGGAACTCACCCCTGCTGCGGATTCTCATGATGCTTTAAGATCTGTTGGGGTTCTAAAGCGACAGAATAGTGAAGTGTGAAAGTGTTACGAATGCCAGGTATCTGGCGAAGAAATGTGATTAATGGTGTGGCGTATTGCAGAATGCAGCAGTCGGAAAAACTCTTTTATATGAGCGATCAGTGTAAGAAAGACATCACGCGAATCGAATAATAGCACGGCGACGGAAGAGAGTGGGAGGGGCGGTGACAGCGCCCACACCGTAGTTGTAGTTTGTAGACCCACCACTCCCATGTCCACTTCTACTAACTAGTAAAGATCAACGACTACAATTTAGTCAGTATCTGGGTGCACGACGACCCATTTCTTTACTTACAATCAAGGCACGTCCTATCGCTGAGGAAAACGTTCGCGAATTACAGCCCCCCCCTCTCCCAACTGTGAGCAGACACCAGCTTCCACCATTCAAATTCACAAAAAAAGTTAGTTATCCCCGCGTTATACAAGCACAGAATGAATTGTGAATTGGAAGCAGAAGTGGGAAAAGCGCTTGAGATTGGGCAGTTCCCACGTCGCCAGCACCCGACTTCGGTGTCGCGGAGTAGTGTGCATGAGCGTCGGACTTCTTCAAGCATTCGAAGTGGTCAGCCGATGCAAATGCCAACGCTTTTATACCCTAGACAGGTCTGGCACAAATCAGACAACCCAAGAGGGACGAAAACCTTGCTGGCAAGGCCGGTTCATACCTCAAAGTGTGATGCTGGGCACCGAGGGTACGAGGTTGCCATTTCAGCCCCATAAAAATTAAAAAAAGTTTGTGACAGCTGTGTGCAAAAAGACGGCGAAGGTGATGTGGTGTCAAGTGACGCCACTAATCACCCTCAAGGTCGGGGTCAAAGACCGAACCAGCTCCCGTTCAAGCATCCGAGTCTCCCTTGCTTCCGGCGTCGTTTACATAGTAGACAGACTGTGTCTGGGAGGATTGAATACGTTGGAAAGCTACACGTCATCACGGAGCCACAGATACGTGCGAGCGTCGAATGACGGCGCGCCTAGTGACCCTGAAAATAGACACTAGAAGCCCACATATTACAGTCAGGGCATAGGCATTAGGGAAATTTTCTGCAAAATATCACTTCCATTAAACAGCCCCCTGCCCGAAAATCCTCCTCCATCCTGCATACACTCCCTTCGTCTTCTACCTATATAACACCTACCTAACATTACCACTAGATCCCCCACGCCGTTCCTCGCGCTTTTCCTCAATTTTTTGCCAAAAAATTCTTCCATCTTCTCCCTTAGAAGATATATCGTCGGAAGGCCCCCCGAAGGGCCCCAATAGCTTTCTCCTCAATTCATTCATGGGCAAAATGGCTATTCCAAGCGCTGAACTTACAAGCTAGAACAGAGCTAGAACAGAGGCGAATTAAGGTGGTTTAAAAAGTCCATTCTTTTCGAATTATTTTGACTTTTTTTGACATTCCCAGTACCGTTTAGCAAAAATGAACCCCATCGCTGTGGTCCTCGCATAGACCCCTACAACATGCAACAAACCGTTTTGAAAAAGCTCACCACGGCCTGAACGACCTCCCTTGTTAGAACCGCTAACCCTTCGAAGTCCAGGGCAGTTAGTTCATAACTCCAAGGAGC